ATACATTATACTTATTTGGTGAACAAAGCGCACTATATTCACGAATAACCCGAACTTTACCAGCCAATACATTGTACTTATTTGGTGAACAAAGCGTACTATATTCACGAATAACCCGAACTTTACCTGCTTATACATTGTACTTATTTGGTGAACAAAGTGTACTATATTCACGAATAACCCTAACTTTATCGTACTCTTATGTTCACTTATTAAACAACAGTACATAGGTTTTGCATAGCATGTAGACTGCAAATATTACTAGATTCAACACTATCAAACTATGAACTACTCCACTTTCAGAATTGCAATTCTTCACTTCACTTTCTTGATGGACTTAGTTCATCGACGCACTTGTAGCTTCATTTTCTTTATGATTTGAGTTGTTGTAGCATCGGCTAGATGACCCCTTGTACAAAGAGTAACATCACCACAAGTGTGCTCAAGATTGCATTTACGAATGCTAAATAACTTATCTGACTTGTACAATGATGCATAAATCCTCCATTTGCAATTTTCGATAATGCATACTGCTATGATCTTATGTTGATCATTTTTCATTTACTTAAATGATCGATTATTAGCAATAGAATAGTTTTTCAGCATATGCCTAAAATCATCAGCATCTTTAAAAAACTGATTCTCTCCCACGGATGCAATGTCTCCATGCATCAATTGAATTTCCAAGCGAATTACCCTCGATTTTCATCGATTGATCGCCGCTTTTGGTTAAAAAAAAATTGATAAATGGATTACAATAGAGTGGAATCCAAATAACAATGTACATGAAAATAACATAACAATGCACTGGTTCCATACTGTCTTCTCCATTATATGATATTAAGTTTTCCCACAAATAGTACCAAAATTTACCTATCACCCATACTGTCCGAATAATAGTTACGTACTATCTTCCCCATTATATGATACTATGTGATACGAACCCCGTCGTTAATGGAAAAACGGTTCCAGGAACTCCAAGATCAGATGGAAGGAATTGTTACCCAACTAAAGGAACTTAACAAAGATCAACATGTTCGAGGGCCATACCTACAACGTGATGTTCACCAACCGGTTCTACCTCATCGTGATAAGGAGGTTTATGGTGATGGAAGATATGGTGTAACTGCTGCAACACCAAGAGATGTTTATTTGAGGCGAGGGGATCGGTTCGATCGACCAAGACGAGGTCATTCCGATTATTACGAGCGAGAGTTAGATGATTATCCTAGATCAAGTACGTACTCAGTTCATTCATCCTATGCTAATGAGTTAAAATAAAGGAGATCGCCGAGTCGAAAATCACGGTGGAGCTCTTCATCAAACCGAGATAGGGAATCAATACCGAGAGAGGCCACGTTCGATCTTCCATATGAGACTAAAGAAAGAGGTTATTATTCTTCTCAATCTCGTTCAATTCATGATACTAAATGTTTTTCGTGTTTGGGTTTTGGTCATGTCGCTTCAGATTGTTTGGATAAGCCATTCATGAATTTGCGGTCGGACTACGAGAAATTGAAGAGAAAGGGTGATTCTTTATCGCCCCCTGAAATGGAAATGCTCGTCAAGCTTTTGAGAAAGAGAACGCTCAAACAGATTTGGAAGTTATTGATGCGCTAGTTGAGGAAGAAGTAAGTGAGATTTCTTCTTTATACCCGGCCTTTTCGGACATGATCAAAACAATCTTCCTTTTTTTTTCTTTTTTTTTTTCTCTTTTTTTGACGCTAATAAACCCTAACTTGGGCTGTAAGGAACTCTAAACAAGAACAAAATTCGATTTTTTTTTTTTTTTTTTTTTTTTTTGACACGAACAAACCCTAACTTGGCTAAAAAGAAATCTAAACAAAAAAATAAAAATTCGAATTTTTTGTATATTTTTTTTACGAAGACTCTAAATAACACAACTCAAGAAAAGATGAAATATACTAGAAGACACAACAAAAAATAGAGATAGGTGAAACCTGTTTTGGATGTTGGCTCTGATACCAACTGATACGAACCCCGTAGAACTTGTTACGAGACCCTAATACCTTACGCGGAAGCAAGATCGAAGACATCCAAAAATAAAGATTCAAAGGGTGGAACCGCGACCCGTTGCCTATAAAGAGGCAGGAACCTTGGTGTGAAGACGTCACAATCGATTGTGAAAGATCGATTGATAAGTCGGGGTGAACAAACGGAATCCACCGATATGTTCGAAGAGTTCTTGAAGAACCAAAGAGAATATTCTCAATTAAATCATCAAAATTCGTTTTCCCTTCTTCCAATTCTCCATCTTTAAGCTTGCTTGAATCGTATCATACTCCCCCTCTTTATAAGGATTCGTCCTCGAATCCGGACAAATATCACAAGGAGTGTAAACAAGATCGATCTCTCTGTTTGGTAGCGAACTTACACATCTCTGCACCACATCGCCCAACACACTATCTAGCAGCCATTGAAGTGGATATGAACGTGAGTATTTTGTAGCTCGAAGCCCCAATGCGTCAAACCTCAACACCACAATCTCATCGTAATGCACAATGGACGTTTGCTCTCTGGTTAGCTCGGCATTAACTTCGATGCATGGCTGGATCATATCACTATGTTTTCCCACCAACAGTACCAAATTTACCTATCACCCATACTGTTCGAATAAAGGTTACGTACTATCTTCCCCATTATATGATACTATGTTTTCCCACCAACAGTACCAAATTTACCTATCACCCATACTATACGAACAACGATTACGTACTGTAAGTACCATACGTCCATACCATAATTATATTAGCATGATACTATTACGTGTCATATTCAATACTATGTATCACACAATAATTAACAACCATAAAAAAATGCATTTCAGCAGTACAGAAAAGGATGGAGACCTACCAGCCATCGGTGGGTGGGTTTTACAGTGATTTTTTCGTCGGAAAAAGAGGAAACCAGAGGAGAGAAAAAAAGAAGAAAGAGAGCAGATAGAAAGGAAGAAAGAGAAGAAAGAAAGAGAAGATGAACAGAGAGAAAATGAAGAGAAAAAGAAAATGAAGAGAGAGAAAATGATGAGAGTGAAAAAGAAGAGAGAATATCAAAAAATATATTAAATTCACATTGATGACTGATCTGCATGTTAGACGTGTGAGTAGGGACTGATTTGCTTGGGGAAACTACCTAGGGACTGATCTTTATTTTATGTTTTGAATTAGGGATTTATCTGTAGTTTCCCATCAAAGAAAATGTTTGAAACAAATCGAAGGACACAAAAATAAAATGAAAATTGCTGCAAAAAGTGTTCTTCTAGGGGTAAGAAATTTGGGTTTGGAGATATTTTTAAATTTATGATTTACTTATGGGGTGATTATATATTTTTATTATAAATAGTATAAAAGAAAATATATTCAATAAATTGTTAAATTAAAAAATTGTGGTAGGTTCAGTATCACCACGATATTGAAAATACCATACTGCACTGTATGGTAGTGTTACGGTACCATTATCGTATCAAATGTAGTGGTAACTGGTAACCGTTACTTGAGTAATTTTTTGGTAATTTGCTGCCATGGTAGTTGGTAGTCGATACGCAGTTGGTTGTAATTATTTTCCTGGTTGTAATTATTTTCCAGCCCTATGCACAAGGGCCAATTATGCAAATTTCGACCAAACAGAAAAAGAAAAACAAAAATCAATTGTGGAAATCCATATTAACCATGTTCTTTTTCGTTGCGTGAAATCGATTTCAAGCAAAAAACCAAACACGTACCGGTACAAATGGACAATAAAAAAAAAAAAAAAAAAAAAAAAAGCAATTTATGTGTACCCGTCGTAATCGGTTCTTCAAAAAAGGAAAGAAAAACATATCAATATTCTTACATCCGAACGGTTCACAACGACTCGAATTTTCGAATTTACAATTCATCAAGTTATCGATTATATATTTTCCTCTTCACAAAATGTATTTCCCCAAAATAATTAAAAAAATATAGCCCCAAAAATGAGGGGAGATTGCCATAACAAACTGCCTTTTGCAGACAGAGACCATACAACAACAACTGTTTGATGTCGGAAAACAGACGAAAAATTAAATGTATTCCGAAATTGCCAAAATACAGGCAAGGCCAGCCAGCCCCCTCTCTGACAAAATTATTGAAAATACAATACAAGAATGGTGGCAAGTTACTATGATAGTATTGTATTACACACACATATACATACATACACACTTTATCCAAACCCTTAACTTTGTGTTGTGCAATATCCAGTTTGTTCTATCCTACACCCAATGAAATTCACCGATAATATATACATACACGGGGAAATTACATTTTCCGTCCCTCCAGTTTACCTCGATTTCACATTTGGTTCCCCAAGTTTGCAATAAACAGATTTAATCCCTCATGTTTCAACAATTTACCATTTTTGGTCATTTTCGTTACTACTAACGGAACCAAGCATGTATCCATCACTCTCTTAGCTGACGGATAATTGACGGGAAATGACCAAAAATGTCAAACTGCTGAAACATGAGGGACCAACTGTGAAATTGGTGCCAACTTAAGGGATGAAAACTGTAATTTCCCATACATACACATATGATTGTGTGTAAATCAAAGGTGAAAAACTACACTAATCGGTAGCAGGTGATCTTTTTAACAATCAATTCATTTGCAGCAATTCCATACACGATAAACATACGCGCGCTCTCATCGACATCTTCACTACAAAAATCGACCAATCTAACGGATCAATTTCAAGAAAACAGAGTATGAGATCTCCAAACGAGCCCTATGTGAATAGGCATAAGCACGAAACATATAACACACACATATCTAAATAAAACTCAACTGCAGAAGCTAAAGATCAGATTTTTACGCGTAACACCGCTAGTATTATCTATAACAACACCGTGTAAAATCAAATTGCCATACCAAACGACACCATCACATTCACGTATTCATCAGATCAAACAGCAGCCATGATCAGTCCCCTAATTTATAGCAACGAAATAATTTCACATTGAGAAAGAATCACAAATCACAAAAATAATGGTTCATTAAACAACATATATATAGTGTACAAACATCCCGCTTTTCATACACGATAAACATACGCACTCTCATCGTACTCTATACGTGTTAAAACACAACAAAAACCGCCACCCCAAAACGAATCAATTCCAAGTAAAACAACAATAAAAAAACCGAGCGAACGAGTTTTTCGAAAGCGATCGCACCTGAATTTATTCACTATTGCTTCGCAATAACATTCTCCAAGTACCACTTGTAAGTATCTGTAAGTCCATCCTTGAGAGAAATCTTGGCTTCCCACCCCAAATCCGCCAGCTTCGAACTATCCATAAGCTTCCTCGGAGTTCCGTCGGGCTTAGTCGAATCCCAAACGATCTCGCCTTGAAATCCTACCACCTCCTTCACCAGCTCCGCCAGCTCTTTAATGGTGACCTCTTTCCCACTCCCCACATTCACGTGCTCCAAATCACTGTAATTCTCCATCATGAATACGACGGCATCGGCCAAATCGTCGACGTGGAGGAACTCGCGCAGCGGGCTGCCGCTGCCCCAGACCACCACGCTCTCGACATTTTTCGATTTCGCCTCGTGGAATCGGCGGAGCAGGGCGGGGAGCACGTGCGAGTTCTCGGGGTGGAAGTTGTCGTTGGTTCCGTACAGATTGGTCGGCATTGCGGAGATCGCGTCGAACGAGTGCTGGATCCGGAACGCCTGGCACATTTTGATGCCGGAGATTTTGGCGACGGCGTACCACTCGTTCGTCGGCTCGAGCGGGCCGGTCAGGAGGGCGGATTCGGGTATGGGCTGCGGGGCGAATTTGGGGTAGATGCAGGAGGATCCGAGGAAGAGGAGTTTGCGGGATTTGTGATTGAAGGCGGAGGTGATTACGTTGGTCTGGATTTGGAGGTTGACGGTGATGAAGTCGGCGGGGTAGGTGTTGTTGGCGTGGATTCCGCCGACTTTTGCGGCGGCGAGGATTACGTATTGGGGTTTGTGGGCGGCGAAGAAGGCGTCGACGGAGGATTGGGATGTGAGGTCTAGCTCGGAGTGGGTGCGGAGGAGGAGGTTGGTGTAGCCGAGGGAGGTTAGCTTGCGGACGACGGCGGAGCCGACTAAGCCGCGGTGGCCGGCGACGAATATGGTGGCGGATTTGTCCATCGAAGTTGGATCAAATTGGGTGAGATTTGGAGTGTGTGTGATTTGAAGATTTGCAGAAGTTGTCGGTGAATGTTTGAAGTACAATTGGGCTTTTTCAATTGGACTTTTAAGTTTAATTTATTGGGCCTTGTCACTTTATTTACAACTTTGCCGAATCATTCTTACGTAAATACAGTAGACCATTGATAAATTAATATTCGATAAATTAATAATTTCGCTTAAGTAATACTTTCTTTCGTTCCCAACTTGGTAAAACATATTAAATTATTAGTTCGATAATTGAATATTTTTCTAAATTAATAGAATTTTGTTAATTTAAAGAGATTTAACTGTAAGTCTAACATTTTCTATTTGTTTCTAGTGTTAGGAATTGGAATTAAAAATATATATATATTTTGCTGATAATATCGACTTTATTCCTAAATGTGCTAATCCGAAGAATACGACTCAATTTCGGCCAATCTGTTTGAGTAATGTGGTGTACAAAATTGCCTCTAAAGCAATAGTGAACCGGCTCAAAGCGTTGATGGCCGACATTATTTCCGAGCCTCAATCAGCTTTTGTTCCCTCGCGTCTCATCTCGGGTAATATATTCTTGTAGCAGAGTATAGAGCATTGGCCTCCCTTGGTGAGTTTATTATATAGTGTCTGAAAGCGTGTATTGTATAAATGCAGTTATTACAGTAAAACCTCGATAAATTAATAACTTCACTCAAATAATAAATTATTTCGATTGCAACTTGGTGAGAACGTGCTAAAGTAATAGATTTTCCCTAGTGCCGATTGTATTAATTTATAGAGGTTTAACTGTAGTTTGTTTTAAGATATAAATACAATTTAGCTGAATGTAGTGAACAACATATTCATTCTATGTAAACAATCAAGTTCTCCCGATCTTCAATATACAATTGATTATCTTCTCTTTCGTTAGAAACCTTGAATGATAATATCGACCGAGAAAATATATGCGAACATCGAGTATTAGTAGAGAATTTCTTGATCTCACATTAGCGGAGGCTATGGCGGCTCTTGAAATTGCTAGGCTTTCTTTGTAAAGATAGTTTTATGTCGAATGGTCTTCCGAGTTTTATTATTGAAGTTTTACGTTCTGATTTTTCAAGTTAATGAAATATGTTGTTTTGATAAGTGTTCGTTTTGCACGATTTTTGCTTATCAATTCTTCGAGTTTTGGTCTTCGTTCGTCCGAATTTTCGGCTTTATTTGTATATATTATGTTGTTTTTGTTTTATTTATATTTTAGGTAAAGAGAAGCTATTTTTGCCGATTCGAAACGATTTTGGAAGCGAAGCCGAAAATCAAACCAAACACGTGCAAAAGTGCATTATCGCGGGTGTGGCACTGTTTCGTATTTCAAGCATAACTTTTGCATACGACCTCCGATTGAGCTAATTCAAGTAGCCTTAAAAATCTCACTTCAAGATCTACAACTTTTGTGAAATGCAAAATTGTCAAATTCGAGCTACAAAAGGGTCAAAACAGTGTTTGAAGTTGGCGCAGAAGCCCAGATCGCGATCCAGCCTTCCTGGATCGCGATCTGGGGGGTCTCACAGTACATTTTTTGATGAAGAACCAGATTGCGATCCACCATTCCGTATCGCGATCTGGAAAGGCGGTGCGCAGTTTCCAAGGCTGCCAGATCGCGATCCAAGAAGCCCAACTCGCGATCTGGGCACAGAATTCGAGACGAGATATTTTTCAATGATTTCTTACTCTAAATAGAAGGTCTCTTATTCATTTGAGAGGATCTCGACCAACTCTCGATTATCTCTCGACTTCTTCTTCGGTTTTCTCTTCGGTTCTCGCCAGTTCTTCGAGGGAAGCTTCGACGAGGGTTTCGACTCGGGTTTTTCATAAGCTTTTCTTTACGTTTAGTTTATAATTTCTCGTATTCTTCATTTTGATACTATGTTTATAATGAACTGAGCATTTTATTTTAGAGAAATGAAACCTTGTGTATATTGATTTTGATTTCCATATTTGTGATCTATTTGTCGTAATTTGATTGTGTTTATATTTTTCTGCATTAAATGCTTTCGATTGTTTGGCCAACAGTTGAATTGATTCTAAATGGGAATGAACTCGAGAGAGGATTTCTCATTTGATTTTAGGAAAGCATAGCTCGGGTTGTGGAAACGGAGACGTGATGCACCTCGGGTAGCCCTTAAGGACTTGACCTAAATGCTCTCTTAATATCAGGTTCAAAACGGAGACGTCAGATCTGTGGGTAGACTCTAACTACACTGGAGATGGGGGTTAGGGTATTTTAGTGTCTGGGTTAGCGAACATAGAATTGACAATAGATTCGGATCTGTAGATCTTTATCGATAGTACACTGGTGGATTTTACCCTAGAAGCCTTCACACGTCGGAATTTCTCGCTTTTACTGGCGGACCGTTGTTTTTATTATTGTTTCCTTCTAGCTTCATTTCATCCTCCATTCGTTCGTATGTCTAAATAAAGTTTATGATAGTATAATTACGGTACTTGGTAAATTTAGGAACTTAATTCCCTGTGGATCGATATCTGGAATTCACTATTCTACAAAACGCGATACTGTAGACTTGCGGTTTTTCATACGTAGGTTTTACGCGTATCAAGTTTTTGGCGCCGTTGCCGGGGACTTAGTTAATCTTGAATTTACTAATATCGTTACCAACTATCCTTACTTTACTTTAGACATTTTTCTTTTTTTTCTTCTTTTGATTTTTTTTATTTTCTTTAACAGATTTGTATACATTGATGGCCTCGATTTTTGATATCTCTCTTTACGAGATTCAATCCAGAGCAGATTACATTCAACAAGAGTTGGAGGATATTGAAAGACATCGAAGGGTGAACCCAGAAAATGGAACTGCACAGACAAATGAGCACTTGTGCTATATAAAAGACGAACTCCACTTTCTAGCAAATATTTTCGGAAATTTTCAGAGATGTCACATTCACAAACCACATCCGACCATCCTTTATGAAGACAACGAGGTATTTACAGATTTTCGTATAAACGATGAGGTTGAGCACCTTGAGGGAATTATTCATCCCAGTTCTGTAGATACTTTTGCGTGTGATGAGAGTGGGATGAAGATGATGGTAGTGGAACTTGACGAACAAAATGCTATCCACATTGCTACTCCGGATTTGAGTGTGATCGAGGAGACGAGATTCAAATTTGAGGTAGAGCTTTCTCCAAAGCTCGAATATCTTGTATACGAGTTTAAGAGATCGGTAGGCAAGCAATCCATCCTAGTCTCCTACCGACTGATTTCCAAAGCAAACGAAAAGTACCATGGGTTGGGATGGTCATTACAAGATTGTAATCTAGTCCATGATATGATTGCAAAGTATGTATCAAGACTGACGGATGGATGCGCAATCTACAAGGTTTTGAATTGGACATAATCCGTCCAAATTGTGTCGAGCCGTCGACAGTAAAACAGGCGCTGAATGGGAGGCAACCCATTATTTATTTCTCTTCATTTATTTTCTTTATTTTTGTCGTTTTTGCATTTTTTTATTTTAAAGCTAAATTTCACCAATTTTTCTTGATTTTTGCCGGTATCTCGTCCCCAAGGAAAGAAGAGTAAGAAGTCGGGAAGTCTAGGCAATTCCGGCAATTTGCCCTCGATGCCAAAATTGAAGGCACCCCGTGCAACCAAAGAACACTTTCGCAACCGTAGAACACTGATCAATCTGCGGCACGACTGTTCATGGCGTATTTCTTTCTCCTTTCTTTTATTTTTCGCATTGAGGGCAATGCATGATTTAAGTTTGGGGGGAGTTTAGCTTATTTTGATTTGGTCTTTTGCATGCATATCATATAATTTAGTTTCATATATGTATTTCGATTTCCGTAATTGTGTTATGTTTGTCACATGCATTTCATTTAGGATCGAGTGTAAGTTGCATTTCTGGATTCTATTGAAGCAAAGCAATTAATGAATTAGTAGACTGGCTAGTTGATTTTAAAATTGAAATTATGGATAACCGGCTAATTATAGATGTACCTTCCGACTGCATTTTTGCAACTTGTGTGGATAGCCTTTCGAATCCTTTCTAATTAAGCTTGAGCGCACTTTTCCGAGGGGTATAATAGTCTGAGGTTTGGGGGCGAGTTAGAATTGAATTATGTGTTCACGATTTCCAGTTGTTGGCCAAAAGTTCTATCAACGGTCTTTACGTTTTTATTTTATGTTCGATGTTAAAAAAAAAAAAAAAAAAAAAAGAGGAGAAAAATAATAATTTGTGGTATTGTTGTGATTCACGCTCTGATTTCCCCGCCTTTCTGACTCGAGCTTAACCCGTTGGGTGCACCTCGTCGCCTAAGTCTCTCGAGCTGTCGAGCTTGGGGGTTTCTTGGACTAAAGTTCGACACATGGGTCAGTGAGATAACACAGTGGTGTCGAGCCTTGCACGAGTCACGATTATGCCCGTTTCAAAAAAAAATGAAAAAAAGGAAAAAATTGTGATGAAAATCACCAAAAATATTGTAGTTGTCATTTCTTTTATTTGAATAAATAGACCTACTAATGCCCAACTCGAGTTTTTGAATTTCTGAATCAAAACTTACTTTTCACCCACATTTCTACTCAAAACCGGCCTCGATAATTGTGTTTATTGTTTAATTACGGATTCTTGAGTCTATCTTTCATTTTGGTGTAGAAACAACTAATTGCGTCGGTAAGAAAGTCGAATACCTTAAGCCGTATGCCATTCTAAGATTTTAGGTTATCTAGCTCGTTTCATCTTTCGAATTAATTGCAATGCTTTGACCAATCCGGCAACTTTGTGGGTGTGTTGTCTAAAAACCCTCACGAGACACAACTCGTCCTTTGGGGGTACCTGTTGGGGATCGTGCATGTATACGCAGCGGAATTTAAAATTTTTATATCGAACTAGTTTCGATTACATGCATAAACTAATCACATAGTCAACGTACCTTAACGCTTCCGCCATACATATGGTAATTATCGATTTAATTGAAAAATACGTAAAACCGAAAATTACAAAACATGCTTATTCATCATTCAATGAAATCGAAACACGTAATCACATATTACTCACAATCATAAA